CCCCCCCGAATACCCCCACAGGATGTTGTCCAGCTGAAGCAGCTTCTCCTGCGGAATGCGGTGATCATCAAGCTCGAGGAGTCGGAGCTCCACAACCGTCAGCTGTCCCAGTTCTTCGTCCATGCCGAGGAGGACGAGAAGTTCCTGCTGCTTTACTTCATTCTTAAGATGCAGCTGGTTCCGGGCAAGTCCATCATCTTCGTCAACAGCATTGACAAATGCTACCGGCTGCGCCTGTTCCTGGAGCGGTTTGGCATCCGGGCGTGCGCCCTGAATGGGGCCCTGCCGCACAACTCTCGCTACCACGTGGTGCAGGAATTCAACAAGGGCACCTACTCGTGTATCATCGCCACCGACGGGGCGGCGTCTCACTTTGAGGATGCCGCGCCCGGCGGCAAGAAGGCCGGCAAGAAGTCCTCGCGCCAGGGGGCCAGCTCCGGCTCGAAGACCGAGTCCTACGGCGTGTCGCGTGGCATCGACTTCCGCGATGCCACGCTTGTGGTGAACTTCGACATGGCGGACACCTTCGTGCAGCACACCCACCGTGTGGGCCGGACGGCGCGTGGCAACAAGAAGGGCACGGCCATCACCATGGTGTCGGTCGGCGAGGAGGCCCAGCGGCTGGAGGACTTCCAGCGGGAGGCCAAGATGGAGCTGACCGGGCTGACGGCGCACTCCACGCGTCGGACCAAGCGCCAGTACAAGCGCGAGCAGGCCCTCGAGCGGGCGCTCCTGGCGCCGGCATCCGAGGCGGGTGCCGGCAGCTCGGCCGAGGCGACGGCCGATGGTGATGCCGCCGCCGAGGCCCAGCCTCGACGCCTGGTGGATTTGGACAACATGGAGGACATCATGCGGCCGCTGCGCTTCGACATGGCCACCGTCAACAGCTTCCGGTACCGTGTGCAGGATGTCCTGCGGTCGGTGACCAAGGCCTGTGTCCGGGAGGCCCGGCTGCAGGAGATTCGTCAGGAGCTCCTGACGTCGGAGCGCCTGCGCGCTCACTTCGAGGACAATCCCCTGGATCAGGATGCCCTGCGCCATGACAAGCCCCTCGGTGTGTCGGCCCTGCAGCATGTTGGCCGGTCTCTGCGCAATGTGCCGGAGTACCTGCTCCCGACCTCGGCGTCGGTGGTGGCCAATGGCGCCATCTCCACCGGGTCCATGTTTGCCCGTGATGACCGGGCTCCCTTCGACCCGAAGCGCAAGAACAAGGGCCGCCGGGGCAACAAGCGTGCTGGCAAGGTGCGTAGTGGAGGCTCTTTGTCCATGTCTCCTCCTTGTTGCCCTTCCCTGCCTTGACCCTCTCGGCTGCGCCATCTTTCTGGGCTTTCCGGGTTCCCCCCTCCCCCTCTTTGCCCGGCTTCTCTCCCCCTGCCGCCCTCCTCCTTGCATTGGATGTGTTTCCCTCTTTTTTTTCCCTTCTCTAACTCTCTTTCCCCCGTGGGACGAATCCGATGACGCACACCAGGCCTCCAAGTCTGCTTCCTCCAAGAAGCGTAATCCCCTCAAGTCCTTCAAGGCCTGATCTCCCTTTCTCCCCTTCGTCCAATCCCTCTTCGCGGTGTGTGTCCCCCCTCCCTTCCTCCCTCCTCGTTCCCCCCCCCCCGCCCCCCCTCCCCCCTCCACGCGTGTGCAGGTTCTCCTCTCCCCCCTCCTCCTTTTTTTTTTGCAGGGGTTCCAGGCACCGTCCCTCCTCCATCGCGCACCTCTGTCCTTGTGTGATAAATAAAGTGTGATCTGCTTCCCGGTGTTGGTGTCCTCTCTTTCTCTTTGCGGGTCTCATTTTTTGTCCTCCCCCTGCCCCATGCACCAGGTGATTGCCAGGATGGAATGTACATTTGTTTGCCCGAACGGCGGATTTGAGCGCTCCGGGCCGTCGTGCCGAGAAAGAGACCGAGAGACCGAGAGAGAGAGATGGAGGGCGAGGAGGCTTCCCTCAGTTCGGCCGCTTGCGGTTGTTCTTCTTGACGATTTCCAGGTACTTCTCGTAGGGCATCTTGGAGTCGGGCTTGTTGACGAACAGGTGTAGCGGGGCCGGCTCGAAGCGCGCGCGCTCGGATGGGTCGACCTGGCGCTCGAGGGTTTCGTCCTCGTCGGCCCCAGGAGCAGGGGGCGCCGAGCGGCCGGCGGCCGCGGCGGCCGCCACGCGCGAGGCACTCCGCGCCTGCAGCGCATTCAAACGCAAGACCTTCTGGTTGATGTCGGCATGGATGTCACTGTCATCCTCCTCCTCGCTGGAGTCCTTCTTGTTGCGGACCTCCTGCACATGGGCCGCCCACTTGACTGGGGGCATGATGCCCGAGAGGCAGCACGGGAGAGGGGTCAGTGGCGGCATGTGTGGCGAAGAGGGCAGAGACCCCGGACTGGCACACGGGTGCGGCGGGGGGGGGGGGGGGGGGGGGAATGCGGCGCACAGATGAGACGCTGCGCGAGGTTGCGGTTCTCGGCCAGCTCATGCGGGTGGTATACCAGAACATGGATGTTGAAGCCGATCTCCTCGCCGGCGATTTGGTCCTCAAAATTGTCCGGCAGAGCGTCGATCTAATGTACGTCATTCGAAATGGCCACCCTCCCCTCGGAGGGGGGAGAGGAGAAAGGGGGTTCGGGAAAATCAGCAGCCAATTCACCGGAGTGGCGCCCGGGCATATGTGGATGCAGAGGAGGCCCGACACGCACACTGAGCAGGCCCTTGAGGATACCGGTGCGGATTTCCAGATTCGGCAAGGTCCCATCGTGTAGGCGCTCCAGCCAGGTCCCGCAGGCGGTCAAGAAGTCCTTGGAGATCAAGTACTTGTGGAGATTTTGCCTGCCGAAGATGGTGGCGGAGGAGGGGGGAATGTGTCAGCCAATGCGCCGAGATGTGTGGTATGGTGAACAGGAGGGGGGGGGGGGGGGTATTGGCCCAAAAGCGCGAGGCCCGAGGGCGAAGCGGAAAACCCAAGAGGTCAAGGGGGGGCGAGGACACACGAGTTCAGGGCCTTCTCCACCTGGGGCCAGAGGGCCAGCTTGCGCATGGACGGCTTGCCTTGAGAAAAGTCCAGGAGATCCTGGTTGCGCGCCTCGAACATCAGCTCGGCCAGCTTCAGGACAAGGACATTCCCGGGCTAGGAGCACAGTGGGCCGAAGCGGGCGAGCGGCGGAGCGCCAGGACGTCAGTCAGTGAAACACCGGGCCATCGGGTGGCGGTGCAGGGGCTCCGACGCACGACTTTCTTGGGCTTCTCGGCGGCGGCGGCGGCGGCGGCGGCGGCTGGCGCGGCAATCGACCCACGGCCGGCGTAGGGGTCTTGCGTGGGGGCCGGCCGGTAGCTGGCGTCATCGGCGCTGGTGGACTCGCCGAAGGTCGTCGCAGCCGACGATCTCGACGGGAACTCCTCGCGACTGGGGGAGCTGGCATGCGTCATGCAGAGGGGACACGGAGGGGTGAGTTTCTGGACGGGGCAGATACCCGGGGGGAGAGGCGGCGCACGAACCGATCAGAGGGGTGCGACATGTTTCGGCCGGCCGGAAGGGCAGATGGGCAAGACGAGGCGGGGCGAGGAGAGAGAGAGAGAGAGGGAGAAGAAGAGAGAGGAGAAGAGAGAAAGAGACAGGCGAGGGCGGAGGAGAGGGAGACTAGGAGAGAGAGAGGGAGAGAGGGGGGGGGGGGGGCCTGTTGGGAGGGAAATCCGTCGTGTCCCGCGCCCCGAGGTGCGGGGCCTTCAGTGGCTGAACTGCCCACGCACATGTATCTGCCGTTGGATGTGGATTTTCGGGAATCCTTTTGTTCCCGGCGCCGGTCGAGCCGCGGCCGGCTCGGTTGCGGGCCCCCGATTTTATAGGGGGGCGGGCGGACCGGCGGGGCCCGCGAGGGCGGGCGGACTGGGCCCAAGCGTGGGAGAGTGTGGTATTTTGCCCGGGGCGGTATGGCATTTATTGTCGGGGCTCTCATTGTTGTCCCCCGTGCCCGCGCGAATATCCGAGCGGGGATGGGCGCGGGCGGATGCCCCCGCCCTGTCCCCCCCCCCTTGGGCCCCGCTGGCGGCTTTTCTCAGAGGGGGGAGGGGCGATCGAGGTCGACAGCCGCCCGGCCCTCCCCTCGGAGGGGGCGCCCCGATCTCGGCTCGCGGCTCAGGTCCGTCACAAGGAGAGTGGGAGGAGGGACGGGAGGCGCGCGGTCGCCATCCGGCCCCGGGCCGGCGTGTCTCAAGGCCCAGCGACTCCGTGGCCTGGACGCGGCCCAGGCGCGACTCCTCCCCCC